TTTTGTTCCCTGGTGGTCCCAGTGGTGATTCCCTGGTGGTCCCAGTGGTGATTCCCTGCGGGTCCCAGTGGGGACAGTGAAGTCTAGCCCGCGCTCCCGGGCTAGAGTTCACTCTCGCGAGATTTGGAGCGTTGCCGTGGTAACCGCAGCAACGCTCCAAATCTTGCTAGAGGAGGACCCGGAGGAGCTGCAGCCTGAGCTCCCGGGTCCTCTTTCCTCCCTCCATCTCTGATCTCTGATCTCCCCTCCGCTCCGCAGGCACATTGCAGGGCTGGCACCTGCATGTGCTGGCAGGGGAGTGGGAGACCGTCGGATTTCTCGGGGGGGGCAATTGCCCCGTTGCCCCCCCCTGGATCCGCCACTGGACGGAATAGCCGTCCATAGCAGTGCCAGCAGGGGGACTGCCTGAAATGACAGGTAGTCCCCCTGCTGCCTGTAATAAAGTAAAATAAAGTTTAAAAACGGTGTAAAATAACATATACTTAGATCATATATACATATTATGTATATAATCTAAGTATATATACATGGGGGTCCGCGGGGGGGGTAGGGGGGGCACTTGCCCCACCCGATTTGGCATGTGAAATTTCTCCACGCTTTAATTTGAGTCCGCCCGGCCCCTGAGTACAATTGCGAGCAGTCCTCAGGTTGGGCTCTGCACTGCAGTCTGTAACATCCTCAGGGGGAGGCAAGTGCCTCCCCCCCTGAATTTGTTAGAATTTCAGTGACTCAGAGCCCGAGCTGAAATGATCACAGCACAAGCCGTCCTAGGGCTCTGACTGCCGCCCGTGTGAGTAGATGCTCTGATGCTCCCTGTTTCAGCCATTCAGGGGCATAGGAATGAAGGAGGAGCCTGTCATGGACCTGCACGGGCCGGGATTTCCTCCAAGGCACGGTCCGCGGAAGGATCTGTCTGTGTGGGTGATAGACACAGACTGACAGTGTGCGTGCAGCGTGCAGCATGCCGCGTGTGCCTTGATGTTGTACAAGAAGACAGCCTGCCTGGTGGTAGACAGCAGTGACAGCACAACAGTCCTGAGTCCTCATTTCCAGTTCCAGCCAGCCAGCCTTCCCTTGCTGCATTCTTAAGGTCAGTAGTACTAGCCAATGCCATCTATCCTATCCTAGTAGCCCCTGCCCCAGGCCCCTAGTTTCCCACTGTGCCAGTGCCACATTATAGATGTCAGGCTTCTGGCCTGCCAAGCCACCTAGCCAGCCTGCCAAAGTGACAAGCCACCTAGCCAAGCCAGCCTGCCAACTAGCCACCTAGCCAGTCTGCCAACTAGCCATCTAGCCAGCCTGCCAAGCAATCTGTCCAGCCTGCCAACTAGCCAGCTAGCCAGCCTGCCAACAAGCCACCTAGCCAGCCTGCCAACTAGCCACCTCTAGCTAGCCTGCCAACTAGCAACCTCTAGCCAGCCTGCCAAGCCATCTAGCCAGCCTGCCAACTAGCCACCTAGCCACCTAGCCAGCCTGCCAACATGGACTGGGTATCATCAGATATATGTATGTATAATCTCTGATGGGGCTGGAGGGGACTCTTTCTAACATATACCCTCCAGGACCCATTTGTCTCCACTGTATGTAGTCTCTAATTTGTATGTATATGTATATAGCCAGCCAGCCACATTGACCTGCCAGCCTGAGCCAGTCACAGCTAAAAGCCAGCCACAGCAACCAGCCATAGAAGAAAGCCAGCCAGCCACATTGGCCATCCAGCCAGCCACAGCTGAAAACCAGCCAGCCAATCATAGCAGACAGCCACAGCAGCCTGCAACCGTTATTAAGGTGAGAGGAACCAGCTTGATACCCAGATATCAGTTATGTGTATGTAATGTATTTATGTCTGTATGTACATACACACACATATATATATATATATATATATATATATATATATGTCTGTATGTACATACACACATATATATATATATATGTATATATATATATATATATATATATATATAAACGTAGTCAATCAGGAGCACTCACTTGGATTTTCGAAATGTGTGTATAAAGTGTTAATCAACCTACATCAACGTTTCGGGTCTTTATCAAGATCTTGATAAAGACCCTGAAGGGTTGAAACGTTGATGTAGGTTGATTAACACTTTATACAAGATCTTGATAAAGACCCTGAAGGGTCGAAACATTGGTGTAGGTTGATTAACACTTTATACACACATTTCGAAAATCCAAGTGAGTGCTCCTGATTGACTACGTTTATCTATTGGCCTGGATGCACCCGGGTAATGTTACTTTCTTCATTTTTTGGGGGTTTGAGTGCCAGAGTTCGGCTTTTTTTTTTTTTTTTTTTTGCAGTGCATATGGGTTGAACAGACATGCGTGTGGTACCCCAACGGCACTCCACACGTTAGTTCCATTACAATTATAACAATGGGGTATGCAATAACAGTGCACAAATTTTTAAGTATAAAGGTTGTCGTTTAACTGCGCATATTTCGGGTACAATGTTAAGTAATACAATCAGCTTACATAAGCAACTTTAGAGAGTGTTCAGACCTTAAGTAGTCTTGTTCGGCATATTAACTAGTTGCTGGCGTCGCAAAATATTGTATATATGCACATTCCAGTGTGCGCTACAGGCTAGTTCTAAGTGCTGTCTTTGCATTGGCTTGCTAATCGTTTACAGGTTATTACAGTTAAGGAGTAAGTAACGTGGATGGGCAACAAGCCTAAACTAAAGCAAGACATTTCGGTCTAAACCTACGTTCTGGGTGAAGGCTAGTGTGTATATACACAGGGATTTCCGTGAGTCATATTAACGTGGTAGAGAACAAGCTTAGGTAACATTATACTGGGTATCGCTGTTCAGTCGTTTGAGTGCATATCTACTTAGTAACTGAATAGAGTTAAGCGCAATGCTATGCTGGGGCGCACAGTGTGTAAACATGCTAGGTCTATACAATATTCCTTAAGAGTAAGTAAAATACAATAAAGGAGTATGTTGTATACAAGACAGAGCCTTTGTGTAAGATGTCATATGAGCTTCACTGTTCTATACCTTAGTGTATAAGAGATATGTTTGTTAGTATAGAGCTGTGACTAATATACATCAGGTTGAATAGGCAATGGTGGGAATCTGTCCATAATCAGACTACTTGCAGTTAACAGTTTAAACACAAAAGGACCCGTGTCCTGTGCGTGCTGTGAGCATCCCTGCAGACTGCTCAGCCGATGCCCTGTAGTGGGAAGCTGCAGGTGTACAGGTGTGTGTCTCCCTCGTTTGCCAGCATACAAGGGGTTAAAGCCTTTGGTTGTTCTTCTCGCCGGACCCTTCCCGAGGCCCCTGTGCGGTGTTCACCGTTCTGGTGAGTCTTGCTGTCACAGGCTGGGGTTCGGGGGTTGGTGAGGTTAGCGTGGAGGACGGAAGTCTCCGAGGTCACTGTGTGGTAGACAGCTTGGGTATGCTGGCTGGCCTTGCCCTGGTGTGTGTGGGAGTGATCGCTATCGCCCACGGGACATGTCGCCTTTTCCCGCCATCTTATTTGTCGGCGCCGTCAGGAGGCCGCCCTAGTTATACTTGGTGGGAGTCCACACAGGTGTCGCCGGACTGCTGGGCGAATCCATGCTGCCGCCAGTCCCCTTGCTAGTCTGAAGGCATGACCTTTGTCCCTGAGCTTCGTCCAGAGGCTTGCGCAGAGCTGGTCAAAGAAGTCCAAGGTATGCTTGGGTGGTTGTAAACGGGTGTGTTGCGTCGCCGGCCGTGCCAGTGGCGCCATCTTGCCTGAGCACTGGCGGTTTCGTCTCACCACAGTATTTGTCGCTTGTTCGCGTTGCTTTGCGGGGGTGGGCTTCCCCAGCTTGGACCGGGATATCCCCCGCCGGTCCAGGGGGGGGGTAGCAGGACAGCGTTTGATTCATGCTTATGAGCGGTTCCCTTGCCGGGAGATCGGCCGCCTCCCCCAGGCGTTAGGCTCCGCTCCTGTTTAGGCCTCATGGTCGGTTCAAGCACTCGTTTCGCGTTTTGATGCGGGACAGGTATCGATATGTTCCATGCAGGGTCCTGTATCGTTTTCCTGGCACCATGCACTGCTGACATTGCTTGGTAGATCGGGATTCGTGATTTTTTTACCCGTTGGAGCCGGAGCTGTCAGAGAGTGCGTCCGGCCATCTTGGCAGTCAGGCCCCGCCCCCCCAGAGTTCGGCTTTTTATCTATCTCTCTCTCTCTCTATATATATATATATAGACACACACACACACAAACACTGCATACACATGGGGCTGTATTCAATAAATAGTGCATTGTAGGTGAATTATTTAAAGTTTACAATCTCATCTTTCCATTAAAGCTATGTATTATGCAAGGACAGCTTGGTTCTAATGTGCGTTTATTGAATACAGCAGAGTATTTAGTGATCCCCATTTCTTTTTAAAAAAGAAAATTGGATGATCTTGAATCTGATAAGGAAGGAAGAGAAGAATCTGGACATGGTGAACAAGAAGCAGAACCAAGCACAAGCAGTTCTGCAGATCCAGTTACAGCGCCAACAGAATATAGCCATCTCGATGCTCCCGTAAATGATATCGGATTGTATTTGAATTCATCCAAAAAGCTAACAGATGATCTGAAATGCAATCTGCTAGTAATTCATGCATACACACCGCCAGAAAATTATGACTTTAAAAGGATTCTAGTGGACCACGCTGTTTCCGTTGAGTGTGGTTAAGTCAATATTCACCATGGCTTAGCTACTCTCCACAACTAAAAGGTGCAATTTGCAAATATTGCACAGTTTTTCCTCAGCCAGTACATCGTGGGACACAAGGAGCTTTCATAACGACACCTTTCACCAAATATAAAGATTTGCATGAAAGTGCACGCAACCATATCTCAACATCGTGGCATAAAAATGTCCGTGCGGATGCAAATCAATTTCTGGACAACAGAAAGAAACCGGAAACAAGTATTGTTTGCCAAATAGATAGCGCTGTGAAGCGTCAAGTTAAAGAAAATCGAATAAAGTTATTTCCAATTATGTCCACTATCATATTTTGTGGCACTCATGACATAGCTTTGCGTGGGAAAAAAAGTACAAGCGGAAATGTTCAAAGTCTTTACCAATTTCGCATTGAAGCAGGAGATGTAGTCCTAAAGAACCATCTGGAGAATGCGCCAATTAACACAAGCTACACATCAGTTCGAGTTGAAAATGAACTGATTGCCTTGTGCAAGGAAACTTTAAGAGAGGATCTGTCAAATAGGTCAAATGGTTTTTCAGTCATTGCTGATGAAAGTGCTGACATATCTGGAAAAGAACAGATGTCAATTGGAGTACGTTTTGTAGACACAAGTAGCACCGTAGCTGTCATCAAAGAAGAATTCCTTGGATTTGCAACCTTAAAAGAAATGGATGCTACCTCAATTGCAAATATGATTATGGACTCCTGTTC